GAAAGCTGAGAGTGTGTGGTTGACTGAACAGGTAGGGTTAGGAGTAAAGAACCAATTAGGATTCAGAGCTGACGCAAGGCTTCTAGTGCTGGTTGACGTGTCACTGGTTTAGCACAAGAATAAGGTCATATAAATTGGTATGCTGATTGGAGATTTTGTCACGTGATAATTGGCAGGGCGATTAGAACATAACTATATATATGTATATATACATACTAGAAAACTAATTATTCAACTGTAAAAATATATCAGTTCACTTATTGTTGTAGAGACGCTCCAGCCCAGCGACTCGGTGCTCGAAAATCAGGAATAATAGAAGTGAAAAATCATGCATGGTTTGAAGGATTCGACTGGAACGGGCTTATTGCTAGAACTATTCAGGTTCCTATTACACCAAAAGTAAGTTCATTTGCGTATGACAAATTTTGATACTTTTTTTATAAGTAATACATTCAGGAAAAATGCTTTATATGACACTAAATGAGCAGGATGTCAATTCATGATACCTTTGAGTTGAGGTCAAAGAGTATATTTAGATCTAGGTAAGGAAAGTTCCACTGAAGAATTTCAAAATATTATTTTTTTTGAAAATAATCATAGATGTGTCTTTGTTTAAATTTGAAGTGGCTTTGTTTTCATTTAGGACGAACTTACCATTTGAGCTTTACACTATCAGTTAATATCTTGACCTACAAATGATCAAGATATATATAGTAATAATAATAATCGGTTACATATATACAAAATTGTCAATCCTTCTACAATTCAAAATCACAAACTTCAAATTATGAACAAGCAATATAAACCGAAACAATTGTTTGAACTTTCACAGCTTTTAAGGATCATTTAGTACTCAACAACTGTAAGAAATCAGTCTTCGATAAAGTGTTAAAAAAAGGCATCACAGCTACATTTGTTAGAATAAACGTTTTTCATTAGTTTTCAATAGTATTATGTTAAATATGAATTTGAATGATCACAGGCCGTATGGATTGTCAAACTGTATTTAGATTGTCTTTTGTCTTCTGCTTTGCTAAAAGTTTCATGTGTACTAAACTTTTCAGTAAATATTTCTCATAAATGATAATATTTATAGTATACGGTGAAATATAACAACTCACTAAGTTATCTTTAGAAGAGATAATTAGTAAATAAACAATGTTAGTCCGATGAATCGTGAGGGTCATCAAAAGTTATCTTACTAAAATGAAATACTAAATGTTCATTTGTGACATTCTATTAGGTAATTTTAAAACCCAAGAACAAAATTTAATCTTAAAGCATAGCTTTTTACTAATACGTTTCTTTGGGTGGTCATTCTCCACATAATTGATCGAAATGACTTACAGGTTCTGCATTTAATTATAATCATTTATACTACTAAACTACATACTGTACTATTTGAATGTTAGTTGTCTTACAAGTGATTGTAAAGCAAATTATACAATTCACTTAGTCTGAAGACTATATGAGTTTCTTTCTAACTGCCTAAAACCTTAAAATATCAGTGAATCGACTAATTAATTTAACGGCAAAAGCCGAACAACGCTCGGAAATTAAAAAGCATTGGAAAGTTGTTTAATCCTGGTGTGAGAATATTTGACAGTAGTGGACCTACAAATACGCCAAAGATATAATGAATGCATCAGGTTTAGATCAATGGATCAGAATCCCATGTTGCACATCTTTAACTTCAGTCAACTAACTATGCGGCATCACTATCAAAAAAATGTTCACAGTGATGATTGTCACAATTTTCGTGCAGTTTTTAATAGTTCTGTGGCTGATATTACCCTCACAATGAACTATTCTTTACAGTTTATACAACTAATTTGCTAGTTTAGTATGAAAACCAATTTATTCATATACTTTTATTACAAATTTTTTTGTATAGCGATACAATTATTGTTTGTTTCTCTGTAAACCTTCAGATTTCCTCACCGACAGATTTATCAAACTTTGACAGTTATTCAGAAGAAGAAGAATCGCCTCCAGAAGATACAACCGGTTGGGATAAAGATTTTTAAAAGGCATAGTAACAATAATTTTGTATTAAACCCAAACTTTCAGTAACGACTAGACGATATGATTAAAAAATATTCTGTATGATAAACAGTAAAGTTATTTTCTCAATCTTTTCACTCAGCCACTTTTCAGCTTTATTATTTCTGCTAAACTAGTATTTTAATGACTTCTCTGATGGAAATTCTTTCTTATTATTTTTGCTTTTATTACAAGAGACTATTTTTCGAGAGAAAAAAAAAGGGAATTATTCATTTCCTTTCTTTATTTTTGAATTTTATTTCAGATCTAGTTGGTGACAAAGAAGAACTAAACTACGTATATTTATACTAATAAATTAATGAGTCTTTTCGTTCATATTGTTATATATATATATATATACGGTTAGATCACTGTTGAATACAACGGCAGCCGTGTTATGATTATCATCATTATTAGAATTGTCAACAATTACCAGGAGGAAATTATAGATGTACCATGATAAAATGGAAGTTCTTCATAAAAACAATCATTGATAATGAGAATAATAATTAAGGTTGGAAATTTAGATCATTGAATTCCAGTCTCAGTGGTCTAAACATATTGTGACGTAAAATAATCATAAAGTTAGAAAGTTTTTGTTAAATTAAAAAGGTGGAAACTATATAACATTGATAATGATATACGAAGATGGTAAGACTGATGTGTAATTAAATGACTTAATCATGGTACTTGACCGGAACAAAACCATAATTCCGTTTCTTTAAGTGCTAATTAGATTCAAACATTAAATTAAGAACATAGAATTAATGACATTAAATAAGAATAATATATTTGTAAAATCTCAGCGAATGAATTTGAAGTAAATCCGTTTCGCCTGGCAATCTGGTCCAAGCTTTTCATCACAGACATTTTCTCAAACAGTAAGAAGAATCACACTCGACTCATTTGATTCAATTCAGCTAATACATCTAAAGGCCGGCTTTCAACGTTATGTTATACCTCAAAAATTTACCACGGACAGAAATAATCTTCAAAAGTTACTACTTTGTAAAGTCAAAAACGGTCTGTTTTAAAGAATTCCACCTTAAATCTGAATGAGTCTAACTGAAAAACATGATTTAACGAAAAGGTTCACCACAGGATAACTGAAAGCTCGTTGCATGAGTAATCTTCATAATACCATATTATTGTGATATATGTTTATAATAGCAGTGATACAATTACCATCTTACACATTAGTAGCAAAGTTGGCAGGCCTATTGTGGTGAGGTCTACTTATATCCACACAAGTAGTATATGGTGATGGTCAGACATAGAATGTATATTGGTAGATCGATAAGGAACGAACAGGGATGAAGTGCAATCGGTACGAAAATGCATGAACAATGAAATCAGAGAAGACGGACTGATATTTGCAGAAGGAACAGTTAGGATTAAGACAATTGATTGTTATTTCTCAAATTAACTGTTCCCATGTGTTGTTCAAATTAACTGCTGACTGTATGGTCATCAGAATTTAGTGAGATAGTGGTAATTCGTGCTAAAATACATTCGATTGTCCCAACTAGTATTCTGTTCGCTACACTATGACTACCAGTTAGTAAAGTTTATTTTGCGACTGAAGATAAGTGTAGAACTTGCAATTTTTGGACGTTCTTCTGAGCAGTAGACCAGATACTGATCTACCAAGCAAAATACGAATTTCCGAATGTTGGGATCATTGTGACTTAAAATGATCAGAGGATTACGGGTAAATGAATAGGTTTGTCAACAAACTGTAAATGATTTTATTGTAGTTTTATTGGAAAAGTCTCGAAAGAATTGATGGACTCTCAGTCACTGAAGAATATACTTGTGTCGGATTTAGGGATAACATTTTGAAAGAGGCTACGAAAGCCCTACTTACCAGGTCTGTGAGGAAAAACTGAATTTCGATAACCGGTCGATTGCACTTTATCACTATTATTTGACTGACGCCAATTAAAGGATAGACTGCAAGTTTGCATACCAGGTCAATTACTAAAGTAAAACCAGTTTTATTAGTTGGATGGATAGTGTCTATTCCAAGAGCGGTATTTGACTATCACAACGGAAGTTTAATCTGGTCATAAAGTTCAACTAGCCGTTTTTTCAAAACTATTTCGAAGTTAAATAACTGCTAAATTGTAATTTGTGCGGAACAAAGGATTTAGAAAGTCCCTCGTTCGAGCTGGAGATTTAATGAAAAAGTTAATTGTTCAGTCTCTCAATTTATCATGTTTTCAAGTTCTACCTACTTTATTTTATTTCATTCTCTACATTCATATTTGCCAAATGGCTATTCAACCTGTTATTTATAAACAAATTTCGTTGCATCTCATAACCTACTGTTGATGTTTTTATAAACAAACCCGTAGTTTACTGGGAAACTTATTTTAATCGTTGAAAATTTCACATCTAACTTATGAGCGATTTCCACAATGACTCAAAATTAATGTTTCTCAATGAATATTAATATATGTTTAGTAGCTTTAGGGGCTGATGAATGATTGAGCTGCTAAAATTACTTCGTCCTGTTGAACAACCAGTAATTTTTCTTAAAATTTATCTTGCACTGTTGAAAATGTTTCATATCTGGAGTTATGATGCTTTTAATAACATTACACTTACAAATGACCATTTGTAATCAATAAACAACAAATACGGGCCTAAAAAATTAAATTTTCAAATGAAGCTAACGTCAAGTAATTAATATGGGGATCGTATCATATACGTTTCATGAGAGCTCCTAATTCACTTGGTGTTTGTTTTTAGAAAGCTAGTTTCGCATTTTAAGTCAGAAATAAAAATGAACAGGCATAATAAATTAACCTTAAACAGCGGTATCTGATCGGATAAAATAAAGGACCACAGTAGAACACAAAGCTCAATAAATTTACGATAATTATATTTTTTTAAAATAAAGGGAAATTAGTAATGGGTTTTAGGACAAAAGATAAACAATATTTTTTATTATTTCATACTGGAGGATCTATAACCATTCTGGAATTCAAATGGGAATGAACCCAATCAGGATGTGCAGCTTCAATATCTTCAACTATACGATTAACAGCTGTACATAAACTTTGAATATGCATACTCCAAGATGAAACACCAGGATCTCTGTCTGAAATATATAAAAAGAATAACGAAATGAGCGTATGGCGTAATAAAAACATGAGTTCGACGATTTATAATTAACTTATTGTTAAATTGATAGTAGATGTATATAAATGAAAGGTTAAACCAGAAATCACCATTATGTATCCAGAAGAGGTTTATTCGGTTTATATGTTTATCTTGCTCCATACCTGCATAACCAGATACCTAAACTCAGTATTATAAACCTCATGTCCCCCTTCCCAATCCTTTTTATGGTTTTATCTTACTTGGTCTACACATTTATCTTTCCCAATGCGCAATTTTCTTGACAACACATTTCCTATCACATATTCGCACAACGTCATTATTATTATTACCTCAGTTAACAAGACAAAATTCTCCTACCATGCATTTTATTCACACTATTTATTGTATCATTATTATATTGATCATAACTTGACACTTTATTGCGAATCATTCTGACCTTTATTAAATGATCCTCCTGACTTACAACTATTTATGTCGCAACAGATGCAAAAGTTTACCATTTTTAACACAAAACATTGTCAAATTCATTAATTCATGGCTTATTTTGTAAAATATCACAATAATTATGGACATAAAACTGTAGAGCCTGATGAAGTTAGTGAAATCAATTGTTCGCTCAAATATTCTTTGTTTTTGGACAACATAAAGGTTGTCCGAATTTTAAACACTGATAGAAATGTCCTCAAAAGGATGAGAACAAAACAACGAACTAAAATTTACAATTAAGCATAAAGTAAATATTTATTATATTCAAATGACCAAATAACTACAAACTTACTTTCGAAATGAATAACACCATCAATTTGATCAAGTTTACCAATTAATCTTCCTTCACTAATCATTTGCGAGGCGATAGATTCAGCCTTAAATGAAAAATTAGACAAATACGTGGTTTTTCGATAAAAAAATAATGAAAACTACTCTTTCTGCCAAAAAAACAATCGATTTAAAGAGTTTACTTGAACAAACTTCGAAAGTGAACAGTTTATGTTGAGTTTGTTTATTATTTCACTGAACTACATTTGATTCAAATCAATTTTGCATATGGATCAATTTCTTTCTAAACATGATGTGCTACATAATCGTGGATGCGACAAATTTTCAATTTCTTGGAATATAAAAGAACTTAGATCAATTAGATCATTCTATTTAAACTTTCAGGAAAAGAATGCATACATTCAATGGACTACAACAAGAGATAGTCACAAAAACACATTTAAAAGACAATAATCTCATGTTTCTGTAACAAATATCATTAGGCATCATATATGATCATTGGTAGGAAAATCTGTATTGGATTACCCTAATACTTTATTGCCTTACATTCAAATACTGGAATTGTCCATAAGATATTCCACCCAACTAACTTTCTGAATGGGATAACTAATAAATTAAACAAACAATTACAATTAAGTAGATACAAAATTATGGATGTTATTATCGGGTGGATTATTATTATTATTATTATTATTATTACTATGTGATAGTTTGAGACAAGAATTAATGAGATAAAACTTTAGCGAAGAAAATGAATATTTAATATGTTCCATAATTTTATCATGAGCTTAGAATTATCTATACTTTATAGATTGAAATAAAACATTTTAATGCAACACCAGCGTAACACCATGCACAGAATTCAATCACACAAACACCAGTATTCGTCGTCAACTAAACCATAAGCTGTTATATTATTTTAGAATAATTGATTTGAAAATCATTACAAAGAAAATCTTTATTGTAAAATTTACAAGAATACAAATAATGTTGGAGGAAAAATTTAATTTGCAATGATTGGTTACTTCAGGTATCCTTTGAAAAGTTTTTTTTTCCCTTGTATTTAAGATCGATTACATAAGTAACAATATACAATACTGCAATTCAATCAACAGTGAGTAAAGTTTTCTTTTTCTTTAATATATACATTTTAGACTTTGCAGGAAAATTTAATTTATTGTACTTACATGGTAATGGTGTTTTACACACGATAAAGTAAGATGTTTGGTATTAAAAGTGTTTTTCTGAATACGAAGAGTACACCTAGGAAGGTTATGAAACCCTGGTTTTATGCCTATCGTAAATATAAGATCTAAGATACTAAATTGTGTATGAACCTATTTCAGTCAACAGTAATTCATCAGCATGAAACTTTTGATGCAGTACAACTGGGTCAACGATTAGATGTTCAAGTCACAGGTGAGGGATTGTATATTGAAAAAACCAACTACTTTGAATGAAGAGTATTAGAACTATCAAATAAATGAATGATTATCACGTAAACACTTTTACATCTCTTTAGCTTTTAAAATTTACAGAAAATATTTTTAAATAACAATAATGATAGAGAAAATGATATTAAAAATAATTTTGAATTACCTACCTCACTTGCAGATATTTCCAAAAGAAGACCTAAATTCTCCAAACTGATATTATTATAGATTAAACTGGCGGCTAACATGTTATGTTCAATCAAAGCTCGTTCAAGCAGTTTTTGTACAGAAGATGAAGTGGTAGATGACAATGTCCTCGACTGATCTTGAATGCTGGTAGTTACTCCTGAAACATCTTGTATTGAAGATTGTAATAAATGAGGATAATATTTCTTAAGTAAAGGCTCCAAACTGGAGAGTGATGAACGATTAATTAAACGTCCCATAAACCTAAATATAATTCAATAAATAAACGAACAAATTATTTTAACAATGGATATTGTGGAACATTGTCATGCAATATAAAATTTACACAAGCACATATAGATTTAAGGTTGCGATCTTAACAAAAGTGAATTGATTTGGATTTTTTGGCATATACACTTCGTTTTACAATAAAAATGGGGTACTTTAAAAACATCTAAGATCATATACTAGAAACCCACACATGTTTTACTCTCAAAGGTCACGTTTCATAATTATGAAAACAGCAGACCAGTACACAATATACTCAGCTTTTGGTAGACACTCTATCTATTCCTTAAGTGAGCAAAGCCCCCAAATGCCCTGGTACGGCCGAGAGTGGGAAGAGTCACCTCTCCCTCTCCAAATGCTCTCATATGGCCAGCGAATATATAGCCTCTGCCAGGGGTGTTGTTTACGAAAGTGAGAGGACGAAAAGCGAATGTCCGGCGCTTTTACCGGGTTGGTGGACATGGAGGGTCCACCTAGGGGAGTTGGAAAACCCTGATTCCAAACCAGTGGTGCACATGGGCTCCAGTATCCTGAGGGAACAAATGGCGTAGGAATCAACCGCTGATCACCTGCTACCATGGGACTGCATCTCCTCACGATGCTCCACTGCCTTGTGGATCAGACATTCAGGTCAAAGGCTCCGGACGTGGCCCCCTAAGAAAACCACCTGCTTCAGTCTGGGCACCTGGGCAGTATCACAGCCCTCACACAAATCGTATGAGATTTGTGAGGCGCATATTTATCTGGTGCTTCCTTGTACCAATATTTATGTGTTTAAATAAATAGATAAAATAAATTAAGTGAGCAAAAGAAAGGAATAAGCTTTTTAAATACATACCAAAAAGGGAATTGTATGATACTTAGCAACCACTAGGACATATTTAACCCATTTGGGAGCTGGTCGTCTACTACACATCAATGAAGTAGTATTCTTACAAAAAATTGAACCCAAGATCTATATCTTCAAGAATGCATTATTACTAAGCTACCAATTACTACTTTTTATTCAAAGAATATCAAACTAATATTATAGTAATATATGTAGTAACACGAATCATTAAAGGTGACTATTACACCTCGACAACTTAGTTCAAAATGATTTTGTAGTATGAACGGATGACTGCATTTTGCTGTGAATACTGATCCACATTAGGAATAAGATACATCTAACTATCGAGTTCAAGCATAACAAAATCCAGATCACTACTAAATACAACTGGGAATAGAGGAAGAAAGTGTATTACACTACTCCTTCAGATAAAAGATCATCAGAAATTCATTTCATCATATTATAACAGGAAGTGTTAACACAATATAAGGACTCAGTTAATTACAAACTTCCTAGTTGTTGTTTGAACTAGTTTATTATTTTGAAAAATAAGTGTTCATTACTAAATCTATAAACAGCTTTTTAAACGATATTATTTCCATCGTCAACATTATCAACTGTTGCATATGCTGGACACTTATGCAAACTAATTTAAAATAGGATGATTCTGTAAACAACTAAATATAATAGTGAGCGATTTATTGAGTTTCACTTCCGGTTAAATGAGAACTAAAGACTTTTATAAACAACCTGGTCATAAATCAATTTGGTATTTATGGCAATTTGTTTATAGACTGTCCCATATCCTTTGAGTTTATGTGGTTCTCCACCTAATTTTAACCTGTTGTGGAAACTTTCTTTAAAAAAAACTACCAAGTGTTATATTTTGGCAACAACTAGCCTATCACATTTGTCAGTGTTTCAACATCAACTTTATTTTTAAAAAACTGATATTCTCGACTACATCTTAGTGGACAGATATTGAACGGCGATCTAACAACATGAAGGGCAACAGCACCAACCATATGCATTCAGAAAAAAAGCAATATTACTTCACAAGATGTTTGTATATAGTCAGTCTCCGAGTGACCTCGAAAAGACAATGTAACATTAGATTATCCAGACTGAAAGATCGATTGGGGAAATAAAACCATCAGGTACAACAGAAAGACTACTTTCGATTTTAGCCCACTGATTAGTAAATTAGGGATGAGACAGTGACAGCTGTTATCTGCATACGTTAGTAAGGACCAAGTTATTTCTTGAACAGTAGAATACAAGATACCGTTTAGAAATGCCTTGTTTTCCAAACAACTAACTAAAATTTGCTAAGAATGAAGACTTTGGACAACTCGTCAAAAAAACGAAAATTACCTTTAGAAATTTTTAGTCCTACTGGTTGATCCTCAACAAACGAATTTCTTGAAAATCGATTGTAATTACTATCCATAGCAGTGGTTAACGAACATCTTTAGTGTTTATAAGTCTTGGTTTACTTTCCAACTGTTAGCCGGGATAGGAGATAAATCATAGTGAACCTAATATAGGTTACCAGTCGCTATATCAAATCAGTAATACACTCCAACAGCATTGATGGTTTTTAGGTGCACACAATGCAATGCAGTGGTTCACAAACAAAGAAATAGCAGCATATAATATTCACGAATTTTCCCACCGAAAACTGTCTATATGATTTGGAATGTACTTCGACCACAATGCTATGTTTGAAGAGATTACGAGATCACTTAAATGAGAGAATGGAACGAAGGATCGGCAACACAACGACAAGACAAGTGAAGTTATTCCGACGCGTCCCAACCCTGCTTATATATTTTTATGTGAACACATAAACAATGGTACAAGGGGGCACCAAATACATATGCGCCACACAATAACAATGAGGCCAGTAGTAATTAACAATGATTCGCGTGATGGTTTTGATACTACCTGGGTACCAAAACCGAAGCGGGTTGTTTTCTTAGGGATCACACCTGAAGCGTTTGATCTAAAGGTCGATTCCATAAGGCAGTGGAGCAACGTAGTGAGATGCAGTCCCATGGTAGTCGGTGAAAAACAATAGGTTCATACGCTATCCTTCCCTCAGCATTATGCAGCCCATGTGCACCGTTGGTTTGGAATCAGGGTTTTCCAAATCCCCTAAATGGACTCTCGGTGTTCACCAACCCAAGTAAAGCGTTGGACACTCGCTTTCCGCCTTCAAGTTCGTAAAAAAACATCCCCGCCACGAGAAGACAGTGACTAGGACTTTCCTGGCAGTGACTGTATACGTGTGACCATGTGAGAACATTTTGAGAGGGAACCGAATCTCCGCATCCTCGGCCGTACCAGAGCATTTAGGGGCTCCAGAGCCATGCTAACTGAAGGGAGAAGACCAGGTTCAGATGAAGGAAAGGCATATCCCACAAGCAGCCATAAGCACGAACAAACCAAGCACACAACTCAAGCGTATATATACAATATAGAAAGGTCCTTGGGAAACGTCACAAAATGGCGTATTAAAAGAGGCAAAGAACCAATAACATGTAAGGTCCTTCCAAGTGGGAAATACAATCTGAAGGTAAAATTGGGCGATTTTGGCTCGAAGATGGGAAATTTAAATTCCAAAAATAAGACGTTTACCAAGTGATTTCTGGGGATCTAGTATCCCCAGCACACAACAAGCTTGAATTATGAATGTTAAAATAATCATTCTTTAACTAAAAGAAACACACGATCCGAATAACAATCGGTGTTTTTCTTAATTTAAAAGTCTTTTAAATCAGCTAAACAAGATGAAAAATTAACTGACTGTTAGTATGATTATCCCGTGTGAGTAAAAAGGTGTAGTCAGTGTTCAATTGATAAAAAAAGTTTTCAAACTTCATCAGACATCTATATCAATTATTCATTCTTGCTTAATAATCAACATAATATTTAATATAAACACTGAATAGTGAACTTACATATTTTCTAAAATTGGATAGGCATCGAAAGTTTGGCACCGTTCGTCTTTATATAAAGTAGCTAATAACCTAGAACGTTGTTGACCAGCACTAGAAAGTAGAGCAGCTGCTAACGCACGTTCTATAAAGGCCAAACGCTCGGAATCATCAAGCCATGGAAATCTTATAGACAGTTCAGCATAACGTTGACCAGCTTCAAGAAATTTTTGCTTTAAATCTAATAAATGTGCATAGGCTATCTAAAATTTTAAATAACAATAAGGGGAATAAACGATCTAGTAGATAATGAAAAACATATTGAATATATTAAAACATATATTGTATTCAAAATAATAATCGTATGTGAACAACTGATAACAGAGAAAAATGCTGCAACAGAAAGAAATATGAAGCATTTATATGACACAACGAAGAGACTAGCAGGCAAATATGATAAACCAGAGAGACCAGTCAAACACACAAAGAGCAAGACAGTCACTGAGATTCAAGAACAGAGGAACAGATGGGGAACTCTTGAATAGGTCACCACCATTGAATCTACTGGATATCGAAGCAGCACACACAGACATTCCTATAATTGTCACTCCACCAACGGTTAAGGAAATCAAGATGGCCAGCCATCAGACAATTCAAGAATGGGAAAGCAGTAGGACCTGACAATATACCAACTGAAGCACTCAAGCCAGACAGAGAAGCAACTGCAAACATGCTTCACCTTCTTTTCAGGAGGATTTAAGAGGAAGAACAAGTGCCACAGACAGGCTGGAAAGAAGGACGACTCATCAAGATACCGAAGAAAGGAGATCTGAGCACGTGTGAAAAAACACAGGCATCACACTACTATCGGTACCAGGAAAGGTTTTCAACAGAATGTTGCTGAACCGGATGAAAGATTCAGTAGACATCCAGATTCGAAATCAACAGGCTGGATTCCATAAGGATCGGTCGTGCACAGATCAAATCGCGACACTACGGATCATCGTTCAACAGTCAGTTGAATGGGACTCATCACTATATATCAACTCCATTAAATATGAGGTGTTTGACAGTGTGGATAGGAGGACCTTATGAAAATGTCTTTGACATTATGGTGTACCTGAAAAAATCATCAATATCATATGGAATTCATACGACAGACTACAGTGCAAAGTTGTGTATGGAGGACAGCTGATAGATGCATTTTAAATAAGGACCAGAGTCAGGAAAGGTTGTCCACTCTCCTCTTTCCCTCTTTCATCTGGTGGTTGACTGGACTATGAGAACCTCCAAATCTGAGGGGAAGCACATAATACGATGGACAGCTTGGATGCAACTAAACGATTTGAACTTCACAGATGATGTGGTCCTTCTATTCCATACACATCAACAAATGCAGGTGAAGGCAAACAGTGTAGTGGTGGTAGCCTTTGCATCAGTAGGCCTCAAGGGAAAAAGTGAGATCCTCAAATGCAACATAGAGAACGCCAACCTAATTAAACTTTACGAAGAAGCTTTGGAAGATGTGGAAAATTAAACGTATCTGGACAGCATCATAAATGTACAAGGAGGAGCCGATGCAGAGGTAAAGGCGAGGATCGGCAAATCAAGAGTGTCATTCATACAGTCGAACATATGGGACTCAAAACAACTGTCAACCAATATCAAAGTCACAATCTTCAATATGAACATCAAGACAGTTCTACTGTACGGAGCTAAAACTTGGAGAACTACTACAATCATCATTAAAAGTACGAATATTTATAAACAATCGCTTACGCAACATAGTTTATGTCCCTTGGCCAGATACCATTAGTAAAAGCTTACTGTGGGAGGGAACAAATCAGTTTCTATCTCAAGAGGGATTTAGGAAAAGATGGTGAAAGTGGATAGGACATACATTATGGAAACCACCAAACTGTATCACGAAGCAAGTCCTTACTTGGAATCCTGAATCGAAATGAAAAAGAGCAAGACCAAAGAACACTGGACCGGGAATCGAAAGCAGATATGAAAAGGATGAATAGCAAGTGGAAGCATCTGAAAAGGATTGTCCAGGACAGAGTTGGATGGAGAATGCTGGTGGGTGGCCTATACTTCTCCGAGGCGTGACAGGCGCAAGTAAGTAAGTTTACCGATCAATCACATCTTCAAGTAGCGAATTGCTGGAGACATAACAGCCTAAATATATTCAACAGAATGTGTAGTACATATTGAAGAAGAAGTGGGACGTAGAGATATGTCATTCGTAAGTTCATGTTAGACGCCACTATTATGTTTGCAGTAAAAAAAATACCTATTTAGTGAAAAATTAAGTTCGAGAATGACGGAGTCGAATAACCTGACAACTAATCTCTGAGGATAGATTATTATGTACAATAATGTTTCTCAGTTGTTTTATTTGAGAAATCAAAAATTCCTGAAAATTAAGACACAGGTTCGATCCCTTTATATATTATTTGACTACCCTTGTTTAGACAAGTGAAATAGGTTTGAAGCTAAGTCCGAACAACTAAAGGCTAAGGGCTCAACCCAGTGAATGATACTTTTCGAGAGTTTAGAAAAACATTATTATTATTATTATTATTATTATTATTATTATTTAGATTTTACAAGGCACTGTAACTTAATTGACATTATTGGAATACACTACTAGCAGGAAACGAAATTGTGCTTAACAAATAACATCCTTTTCTAGAGTTAGACTGTCTAAATTTCACAGAATACTACGGAATTCTTTAAAACAAAACTTGATTATATTGTTATTGTAAGGATAGTCATATAAATTAATTTCTAAGCCCACCTTGTATCGAACCAACAGTTGTTGATTCTGACATTCTGGTTGCAGTAAAGATGCCCGATTTACAAAAACTTCAGCTTCTTGAATTTCATGAATTTTTAAGAAATATTCTGCTATTCTCAAATAGATATCCAATTTATAATTTACTCCATAGACTCTATTTAAAATGTCAATTCGAAAAACACAAATGGTTAGAATTTATAGATGTCACGGTAGCGTTTATCAGAAAAAAATGTACACCAAATGAAGTGTTAACATGCTGAAAAATATTAATAACGTACTAGTTGGCGACTTCAGTGTTCATTGAAAAAACCATCAATCGATGCATTTAAAATGTACAGCAGTTCATTAGGATGTTAAACAAACAAAGTACTTACGTACAAACCGCAAAATATATTTGATTTGCAGGATTAAACATTATATTATACATCGACATTATAATGTTATTATATACTATTGCTTTCAATGATTGAGAGTGAACGAAATGAATCGACTCTAAAATTTGAGTGTAGAATTGGTGGTTAACATTTATAAAAAAACTACGTTTTCTCTTCTAGCTGTGCACGTGAATTTACATAGAAGCTAAAGTGGATGCTTTGAGAAGAAAATCACTCAAAAGAAATAGTTGACTTTCACAGAAAGAATTAAAGGCAGTTTGCTGAGAATACAATAAAATAATTCAAATGCACATATACTAATCGTATTCAACATTCTGCTGGTAAACTAATACACAACAAAATTGGGTTTGATACAATTATATTTGGCAAATTTCATAACTAAATGCCTATGCAATGAATTTTTGAAAATAAAGAATAGTTAAGCGGTTTTTTTAAGTACATGAAAACTCCAAGGAAACTTCGCATATTGCATTTAGTCGTTGTAAACCACCTGTTTTTCATAAATGGATCTAATAATTTAGTTCCTGAGACAGATCTTAGTTTGATGGGATTCCATTCTGGAAATTTGTAGATTAGCTACAATTTCAGATAACAAAGTAAAAGTTAAAAAAATAATCAAAAGCGAAAGGTGTAGCAATTTTCTGGCCGAAAAGTCAGGAGTTAAGGTCTAGTGGTAATTACGTGTGTAAATAAATGGTCAGTCAGTTACAACGTAGGACCGGGTATACATATACATCAGTTCAAGTTGTCATACCTCATTAGTACACCAAGATAAAGACCAAATTCATAGAAGCAGTTACTTCAATGGCGATGAAAAGGGATTTCATATAACGATATGATACAGGGAGGTAAAATTAGTTAGTAGAAAGAAAAGTATACAGCAATTAAAATCTCACGGTTTAAAGAAAGAAAAATAGTGTATACACCTACGCCATTGTGACCGATTCTGGGCAGTGAAACAGTCCCCAACCAATGGTTACGATAGTCACGCGGACCCCAACCAAGTAGTCTGTATCTACCAACATGGCTCAAGCCAGAAGTTAATGACTTTACGGACTGATGCCACGTCTTGGTTTGGTCACCCCTAACTCCCAACCGTCTCCAACACTAGTTAGCATTCCACGCAGTTGTGGTCGGTAGTTGAGCATGCGTAATACGTGGCCCAATCATCTCAGTCGATGGAGATTCACAACCTTATCAAGTTATTCACCATCACTTCTTAATAGCCTGCGTCTGACCTCACTATTACTTACCCAATGATCCCAGCAGATGCGAGCAATATTTCTGAGACATTTATGATCAAATACTAGTAACTTAAGAGTATCTTCTACTTTTAATGGCCACTTTTCGCAGCCGTAAAATACAACAGAACGAACTGCTGGGCAGTATACTCGTTCTTTAATTGATAGACGGATATCTCGTCTTCGCCATAGGTGATGTAAGTTGGTAAAAGCCAAACGAGCTTTTCGAATCCATGCGGAGATTTTGTCAGACACCAATCTATTAGGACGGATCAGACTTCCAAGATAAGTGAAGTTGTCGACACGTTCGACTACTTCACTCTCTATCCTTAATTCAGGTGTTGACGCAGGTCAGTCCTGAAGCAAAAGTTTGCATTTAGAGGGAAAGAAATATATCCCGAACATCCTGGCATTGTTGCTTAATGCTATCAAAAGACTATTTTATCAGCATATTCACCAAGTAGGACTGTCATCTGCGTATTTTAAGTCGATAAGTGAACCTCCTGATAGGAGGTCAGTCCCCGAAAATTCAGTCAACGAGAAAGTTATTCCCTACAGTAGGTCTATGATGAAAATGAACAAAAATGGAGATAGTGGACAGTTTGCCGTTCACCACTCGAGGTACTTTAGATCGGAAACAATTTAAATAACAATATCCTAGTAAGATAACGTACAAATATGAAAGCTAAAAACTTGTAATAAAAAGCAATTGGTTTCGAAATTAATGAAATCATGATAAATTGACAGTAGTGAGAAACTACGATTTAAACTCCTGTATGTACAAAACAAGGGTAGGAAAGATACAAACAGTTCAATCTTCTTGTATGAATATAGGTTTATGTATACAAAATATTCTGGGCAGCATCATTGATGAACACGGTGGATCAGATACAGATGTGAGGGCGCGGATCGGCAAAGCAAGAGCAGCATACCTACAACTGAAAAGCATCTGGAGCTCAAAACAATTGTCAACCAACACCAAGGTTAGAATTTTCAATACAAATGTCAAGACAGTTCTACTGTATGGGGCGGAGACGTGGAGAACTACGAAAGCCATTATCCAGAAGATACAAGTGTTCATCAACAGCTGTCTACGCAAAATACTTCGGATCCGATGGCCAGACACTATCAGCAATAAGTTACTGTGGGAGAGAACAAACCAGATTTTAGCGGAGGAAGAAACCAGGAAGAAGCACTGGAAGTGGATTGGGCACACTTCGAGGAAATCAGCTAATTGCGTCACAAGACAAGCCCTCACATGGAATCCTGAAGGTCAACGGAGAAGAGGAAGACCAAAGAACACATTACGCCGAGAAATAGAGACAGACATGAGAAGAATGAACAAGAACTGGATAGAACTAGAAAAGGAAGCCCAGGACAGAGTGGGTTGGAGAAAGCTGGTCGGCGGCCTATGCTCCATTGGGAGTAACAGGCGTAAGGAAGTAAGTAAGTAAGTATACAAAATATTAAGTTCGTCGTTCAAACAAACATAAAATCCGCCGTCTTTAATATTGCATCCTACCACACCGTATCACCTGACTAATTTAGATTAACTACAAAACAAGTTTGAATGAATTTATATTCATACATTTATCTGTTTTCCACAAAGAACCAGAAATAATAAACCCGCAGCCCATCCCTTTATAAATAACAGCTAAGTTCAGGGAAATAAGCATCTACATTAAAAATCAAACCATTCGAAAACTTGGATGAACAAAAATCACTTACCGTTGTCCACTCTCTAATGGTATATCAGACAAAACAGTAGCGGCTTCACGAAGGTTCCCTACGGCTTCTAATCGCTTAGAAAGTGAATCACGTAGTTCAACCAACTGCAATTATTTTTAAGTTGTAAAATAAAATTTACTTGAGATTCAAAAGCAATATTTCTTGACTGCATTCGAGAAAGTAGGATTTGCAATGCACTAATCGCTAAAGAATTATCAGGAACTTGATTCACGAAGTTTATAAGTTCATCACAAAACTTCCTGGCCGCTATAACTGTCACCATATCCTGAGAAACTGTAACCAATAATAGGTAAAGTGTTACTACTTGTGTTGACAATTGTAGTTATATCAGCTAGTAAACTTTCGGAAGACTGAGGAAGAGATTTCAGCAAGTTTGAAAACCTGCAAGTAAATCAAAATATTTATTTTATTTTGTAACAAACTTTTCCGTAGCTTCTTTTGGTGATTTGCAAGTGGTGATTTCAGAAAGAATAGTACTTAGATTCTCCGCCATACTTAAGACAGACTAGTAACCCTGTCACAATAAGGTATCTAAATAAATTAGAAAGTAAAATAACTTTATATAAAACAATGAGGGGTCGAACAAAATGTTAACAAAATTATCAGTAGTGAATAAATAAACGAAATCCAGTGGTTTAAACACCATCTGTAAACGAGCACTTTAAAAATATAATCCAGTCCCGCTGGGAGTAATACACGAGAAATGTTGGATCTGATATTCTCCACAAATTTTAACTCAACGTTATTTAACCAAGTTTTCCATTGACCACCACCACAATGTCTTCGATTGCAAAGTCATTTAAACAGCTCGACGTTTAAGGGACATGAGAAACCCAATAAGATGATACCTTTAATAGTTTGTACATAGAAGAATTTCTTGGTGCTCTTTTCTTCAATACGTGCATCACTGAAAATTTTAGTCCAAGTACTAGTAGAGTGCTCATTGAATGCTACTATAAAGTAGGGTAAGCACAGACATCACACAAGGTTTCGAAAGTCTTGCTAGTCATTCCGTATAATAAGATCGGTTTTACAAGTTCGATCTACTATGAAGATGAAATATGCTTTAGATAAGCCACTAAACAACCATGCGATACCTCACAGCGGTTACACTAGTCACGCTTTCAGACGAAGTAACTGGTGTTTAAGGAATATAATAGTCACGGTATTTGCGGGACATGTTTTAAAATCACTCTAAATTTAAACCTTCCGCTTGGTAGGGAGAAAATAGTGGAAATAAATGGAACTAATGTAAGAAAGTCGAAGTGTGACTGTCAAAGTAGAATAGTGCCGATTCCTCCTACTTTTTTTCCAGTTTTTCAGTATTTATGGTGGAAGTATTCAAGGAGTACATGTCCGATACATCGTGAATAAACCGGTGTCCACTTATCGCCAGACATTATGCAGAATCGAAGATAATGATCTGAAACGAACACTGCAGAGCTCACACGTAATTACGGCAATCTGGTAACAATCATTGCTATGTGGCGCACAAACGAAACTTCGATCCTAATATAAGCGTCTACACCAGAAACACTGAGGTCATGTGGTCACGACTGGGGGGTTTCTTAACTTTATCATGAATTTACTGCACAGACGCTGCTGCGTCAAATGGATGAAATCTTACACCACACCTAGTGACTTGTAATAGAAAAGGAGGAGAAATGTAATGAGTATATATACACACACTTGAACGACTTAGACTCCTATGTAAGTTTGATACAGGTTTTTTTTCACTAGCCATGAAAAATTCATGCAAAAGACCTGGTTGCCGTTTCGCTGTTACATCTGGCATGCAATGTGACAACTGCAAAGATTGGTTCCACGAAGCATGTACAGATCTAACAGCAGCAGCCGATAGCTGACTCAGCAAGTCGGCTATCGACGGTGCTGTTAACAGCACGAGTGATGATGTGCTGAAACTCGGCACCATCTTAACATCGGCTGTCATTGACTCCCTCAGTAAACTTGGGTCCCCCAGGGAGGAGTCCTTGAATGAGACAGTGGTTCCCAAAAATCCTGTAGGTGGTTGGACTCACGTTAACAGGAGTAAAAAGGCACAAGCGTCCCCGCTGAAAAGGAACATCCCAAGTACCGTGCGGAAATCAACTGATGCTTTGGCCGCACAATCTACCCCCAAGTTTATTATTTATTTATTTATTTAAACACATACATATTGGTACAAAAGGGCACCAGATACATATGCGCCACACAAAATAATGAAAGTAAGAAGATAAGGGATGAAAAGATAAGGCGGACTGAAATGTACAATCACAAGACTCTTTCAGTTAAGAAAGTTAGAACCACTCTTTATGTAGAAAGTAAAAGAAGGTTACAGCAGGTTCGCCACTGGCTTCTATTCTGAGCCATACCTGAAAACGTCTCTAGCCACTGTGTTGCACCATCTCCCGGACCCCAGCCAGGAAGTCGTGAAGGACCGACAGAAGCTAGCCCTTTGCAGCTTTCTTTCATGCTACGACACCATGTCATACACTGACCACCTCTCCGCTTCTCCCAACAAGTCCCAGCGTCGACAAATAATGCACGACGTGGAAGTCTCTGGGACGACATTCGTAAAACATGTCCAAGCCAGCGAAGTCGGTGTTTCAAGATGGTGACACCAATTGAATTATCGTCTCTGTGCCTGAACACACGATGCCGAACCTCTGCATTACTAACATGGTGTTGCCACTGGATGTCAGCAATCCTTCAGAGACAACGATGATCGAACACAGACAGTCGTCTAACATCCTCAACTCGGAGAGACCAGGTTTCACAAGCATAGAGCAAAACTGCTCTCACCGACGTGTTGTAGATGCGACCTTTTACAGCCAGACTAACATTACGAAGGCGCCAAAGATGGCATAGATTGGCATAAGCCACTCTGGCTTTCATTATACGTGCATCAATCTCATCACTCACGCCACCACCAGCACTTATATAACTACCTAGAGACACGAACTTCTCAACTACTTCAATCTGCTCACCATCCGGGGTGAGTACAGGATGAGAATCCTGCCAGTCTTGTAGGAGTACTTTGCAGTTGGAGGGTGCAAAGCACATGCCGTACCTGCGGACACTGATTACCAACTGATTAAGTGCGGATTGCATGCCTTGGGCATTATCGCACAGTAAGACAATATCATCCGCATGCTCAAGGTCGAGAAGTCGTTCTCCAGGCAGCAGATCCACACCGCCATTACTTACATCCATCAGAGCTGTTTCCAGAATGTCGTCGATGGCAAAGTTGAAGAGGAATGGTGAGATCGGGCAACCCTGCCTAACCCCACTGCTCGAGTGGAACAAGGGAGAAAGGTGGTTGTATGCCCTCACTCTGCCTGAGGTGTTCGTATACAGGACCTTTAAGATGTTAATGAACTTCTCAGGCACACCCTTCTTCAATAGACAATCCCAGAGAACGGTCCTGTCCAACGAATTGAAGGCCGCCCTGATATCAAGAAACACTACGATTGTTGGCCTGCGATAAGTATGACGGTGTTCTAACATTTGGCGGAGGGTGAAGATATGATTAATGCATCCTCGACCAGAACGAAAATTAGCCTGCTCCTCGCGAGTCAATCGTTCTCGGGTTTTAAACAACCTACGAAGAATGAAAGAAGTCAATAGTTTGGACGCAATCGGAAGTAGACTTATCCCCCGACAGTTGTTACAGGAACAACGTGAACCCTTTTTAAAGATAGGGACGACTATCGACTCATTCCATGATGTTGGAACACTTTCTGACTCCCATACCCTTGTAAGCAACATAGTTAATGCCTTAGTCAGAAGGTCACTACCATCTTTAAAAAGAGCTGGAGGTAAGTCATTTGGGCCCGGTGATTTGTAGCGTTTCAAGAGTTGGAGTTCCTTGCGGAATTCCGCCTCGTTTGGTGGATCAGTCGTCACCGGCCATGTGGGGCAGGACAAGCTGGTTGATGCTGCCGGAGCAGCAGGCCAGTTGAACTGCCCTTCGAAAAATTCCGCCCATCGTCCAAGACGTCGAGAGATGTTAGTGATTGGCATCCCGTCATCCTCGCAGATCGTTTCACTCACACCAGACTTCCTGCTGCCAGTGGCTCGGATGAGTTGGAAGAGCTTCCAGCAGTTACCAGATGCAGCTGCTGCTTCCATCTCATTAGCACGCTCCGACCACCAGGCTTCCCGGTCCTTACGCAAGCTTTGCCCGATTTCATTACGTAACAGCCTTCGTTTGTGGTCAAACTCACGGTCACCCGGAGTAGACCGACGGGCTTCGATCAGTTGTAAGGAGCCAGAAGAAACCCAGTGCTTGTAAGCGGGACGTTTCGCGAAGCCGCAAGTGGCTTTACTCGCCATTTTCATGGCGTCATGAAGATGCAACCAATGCTCATCTATACTTTTCGGTGGGATGGTAGCTAGCCTAGAAGCTAGCTCCGCTCGATACTTACTTGCAACAGAAGTTGCAGCCAGTTTACTAACATCGATCCGTTGATGGCGGTTAATCCTTCAGCTACTGAAATGTAAGGTGGGATTGGCGCAGACCAGGGCATGATCAGACTCCAGATAGGTACTCCAAAAGGAGCGGCAGTCTTGTACACAACCACGCCAGCGGTAGCTGATCGCGATGTGATCAATCTGAGTCCAGGCTTGGGATGCAGAGGGAGAACGCCAGGTAGCACACCGGCGATGACTGTGCCGGAAGTTAGTGCTGGCCAGAAACAGGTTGTGGTCTGTGCACAGTTGCAGCAAACGGTCCCCGTTAACTGTCCTGCGACCAAAAATTCCCCATCGGCCACCTAAACGACTCTCTTCTATGCCTAGACGCCCGACCTGAGCATTCAAGTCTCTGGCTAATACTACAATATCTGTCGAACGCGCTTTCTGGAGAAGAACTGTTAACTGGTGGTAAAACTCATCCTTGATTGCATCCGGGCTGCAATCTGTAGGGGCATAGGCGGAGGTGACGAAAAGACACCGTTTCTCACACCGATTTCTTCTCACTTTGATGGAACTTTTTAATCTAACAGCACATAACCGACTGTTAATGGGGATCCAATCGATTAGTGCTGCCTCAGCCCTAGCGCTTAGTGCGACACCAACGCCAGCAAGACCAGACGAAGATGCCACAGGGTCCCCAGATAAGCGCACGTGGAACAAGCTTTTCGAGGCGACAGATGGAGAGCGGATTTGTAGTACTTCACCAGAGTCTTGAATACGGGTCTCGGATAGACAACAAACGTCAATATTAAGACCTTCCAAAGACATAGCCAACCCTATATGTTGTCTGATCTGCATTAGTGTGCGAACGTTGAAGGAAGCCAGCTTGAACGGCGTACACGGTTTTAGAAAGACTGCTTCAGTATTCGTAATCGGTGGAAGCATTCACTTTCAACCAGACAGTGACTGGAGATCGTTTAGATAGGACAGAGTTTCCACCATGGGCGAGCTACTGCATAAGTTGGAGAGGGAGGATACACAATTTGCGAATAAAGGGAGTGAAAAAGCGACGTAGTA